AGGTTAATTTTGTTTTCCATGTGGATATCCTCGACTCAGCAACATATGTAAGCTCATCTCTGCCCCCACTAATCTGCAATGTCACCTTTGTTATACATAAATGCAATTGTGGGTCCCAGGGGCACCTTTTTGGGGAACTCAAGCCAGGACACTGTATCTGTTGCTCTTCACAGCTGACATCCATTCCTCCCCACCCACAAACAGCTGCCCCTTAGCCACTGCCCATGCCTATGGGCATGTGCACCAGTAGTGCCACTGACCCTTGGTACATGGGCCCAGGGAGGAGCTCTGCACACGGCCAAGAAGTAGGCTTTGTTCTTTGGACAGTGAATTCTAGTTCCCTGGTATCTGGCATAACCTAGAAAGTGAGGAGGTGACAGTCTCCAGGTGGCCATAGCTCCTTGACCTCAAGAACGTCTCATCTGTAGGGAAGAATGTGGCTAGAGCCCGGCCAGAGTGAGGGCCTCTAAAGCTTTCTTACGTGGGCCTAAGAGTGGTGCTCCTAGGAAGCAAGCCTCAAAATCCTGAACTACTGCTCCCGCCATGTCTTTTCTTTGTATCCTATACTTAGACCCCAAAACAACTTAAAATGAATTTTCCCTACATAGGTTACTTTGATCTGTTTGTTACATTGGTTAATTTATCTCTTCTTAGGCCAAAATCATGCTTCCTTAAGCTTTGTACTTACATACTATACAGCCTTGTGCTTACATACTGTAAATTTGATAGGTTTTGATACCTGGCAGTGTTACGCCCCTCCAACTTTCTTCAAGATCACCTTTGCTATTCTTGGTCCTTTGCGCATCTATATAAATTTTAGAATTACCTTGTCGATTTCCGCGAATAGCTCTGCAGATATTTTCTTTGGGATTATATTGAATCTATAGATCAATTTGACACCTTAACAATTTTGAGTCTCAATCATGAACATGGTACATTCTTTCATCATTTTGTGCTTTTAAAATTTCTCTCAATTTTGCTTTGTAGTTTTCAGTGTAGAGGTTATGCACAGCTTTCATTAGATAGTCCTACTTACTTCACCTTTACATTGGTGCTACTGTAAATTGTATCTTTTTAAAATTTCTTTTCCTATTTCTTTGTCGTTGACATATAGAAATACAATTTATATCTATATATTTACCTTGTATCTAGTGACTTTCCTATGTTCAGTTATTCATTCAAATTGTTTAAAAATTCTTCAGGATGCACTATATATTATAGAACCATGTTATATGTGAAAATGACAGTCTTTTTAAAAAATTTTCCCTTACTAAATAAGTTATTTGATGGTACTATAAATGGAATTGTTTTCTTTTTTCTTGGATTGTTTTGGACTGTTCCAAAAGTTTGCCGAATTTGTTTATTAATTCTAACATTTTGTGCGTATGTATGTGTGGGCAGCCCTTGGGGGTTTTTTTGGTAGGATTTTCTACTTATATGTTATCTGTGAATAGACTCAATCTCTTTAATAGGTGTGAAATTATTCAAATTTTGTATTTCCGTGTCATTTTTGGTAAACAACAGTATATTGTTGTGCTTTCTTCGCTGACTCATGGATTATTTAGCATTGTACAATATCACTTAATCTCCATGTAACTTAATTCCACTATTGTTAGAAAAGTGTTTAGAATTATTTCAATCTTTTGAAATTTCTGGAGTCTACTTTGTAATCCAGGATATAGCCAGTTGTTAAAATGCACGCTCTGCATGAAGGGACCCCTAAACAGGCTTTGTATGAGCAACATGGCTGTTTATTCACCTGGGTGCAGGCGGGCTGAGGCTGAAAAGGGCGTCAGTGGAGGGCAGTGGGATAGGAGTTGGTTTTATAGGTTTGGAATGGGCAGTGGAAACTTACAGAAGTTACAGTTGGTGGTTTCTTACAAGCTGGGAGGGGGTCACAGGTTTGCAAGCTGGGAGGGGGTCGCAGGGTGTGGAGTCATGAGGTTGGCTAAAGTCCAATGGCTTTGTCAATTGAAGCAGGAATAAGAAACAATAGAAGAAAGTCTCAGGTTAGTTATGCCCCATAGGGGTTGATCTTTCTTCCAGGATCTCATCTGGGGTGTACGTGCAGGTCACCAAGATTACCATGCCATTCATGGAGCAGTCAGACCTTACACCAGTTTGGGCAAACTCCTTACATTTTTTTTTCAAGATTGCTGCTGACTGTATGTCCTGTCTCCAGGACACACCCAATTCTAAGAAGAAGATACACCCATATTCTAAGGTCTAAGCTAGGAAGTGATACATATCACTCGCTCACATTCTATTGGCAAGAATACATTCACATATCCACATGGCTTAATGCTAGGAGCTTAATGCTTAAAACTAGGGGCTTAATGCTAGGGTGGAGGGAAAGCTGAAATTTTGGAACAGATTCTCCTCCTATAAGACAGCAAGATAGTGGCAAGCCATCCCACAGATAGTGTTCCATCAGACTGGTCTGATTTGGATCACTTTCCTGTGTTTTACCTGTTGCTGTGGCAAAAGGGATGGAAAGTAATCCTGTTGGACCAAGCCCAGATATTCATTTCCTTTAAAAATAACAGACACTGTTAATCCCACAAAAGCCACAATAAACAGGTTCCAAGGAGGTCAGGTGTTGTGGCTCATGTCTGTAACCCTAGCACTTTGGGAGATCAAGGTGGGCAGATCACTTGAGGTTAGGAGTTTGAGATCAGCCTGGCCAATAGGGTGAAACCCCGTCTCTGCTAAAAATATAAAAATTAGCCGGGTATGGTGGCATGTGCCTGTAGTCCTAGCTACTCTGGAGGCTGAGGCAGAGAATCGCTTGAAACCCAGAGGCGGAAGTTGCAGTGAGCGGAGATTGCACCACTGCACTCCAGCTCCGGCGACAGAGCAAGGCTCCCTCTCATACAAAAACAAAAACAAAACAAAACAAAACAAAAAGGTTCCAAAGAGGAAAGACGAGTTACTTTACAAAGAAAAGGGAATAAGCTGGGCGTGGTGGCTCATGCCTGTACTCTCAACACTTTGGGAGGTTGAAGTAGGAGGATGGCTTGAGTTTAGGAGTTCGAGACCAACCTGGGCAATATGGTGAGACTGTCTCAAAAAAAAAAAAAAAAAAAAAAAAAAAATGGGGGTAGGGAATAAGTAGTACCACACAAAACCTAAAACTAAAAAACAAAAATGGTGCTCACTACAAAAAGTGAGAAAAAGGAAAAAGGTAGCTTCTGGATTTGGACATTCAAAGGTCACTGGTGTTCCTAATGAGATCCACAGTTGTGGAGTGACAGAGAGAAGCCACCTGTGGCGCAGGAGTCGTCAGTGGGTGAGGAGGAATGGATGTAGCATGGTGAAAGTGGACGTCACTTTCAAGGTGATCAACTGTAAAGAGCAGCAGATACAGCGTCCTGGCTGAGTTCCCCAAAAAGAGAACAAGAATTTGAGCTCAAGTTCAGTTTCCTGGGAGGTGATCCCAAGAAACATCAGTAGAAGATTGGGGTAGTGAGTCTGGGAAAGGAAGGAAGCCAACAGAAGATGCCTTGAGGCGCAAGTTACAGCTGTGGACAACTGCAGCTCGAGCCTACAAATAATGACCGAAATACCCCTAGGAAACATGCCTCCCCGCAGGGCATTCTCGACCAACTTTGTCCCTTGTGGAGGGAGAGCAGCTGGGAGGGAATCCAAGAACCCAGCGCATCTGAGCCTGCCCATTTCTGCTCTAAGCAAGCTCTCTACAGCCAGCGAATGCCTCCAGGTGGAAGCGGTGCGCAGGACCGGCAAGTGCGTGCCTGGAGGCCCTGTGGAATTTGGGCAATGATGGGAGAGAGAAGGGCGCGTTTACAATATGCTCGGTAGATACCGTGAGCACCGGGAAACAGGAAGGGGAGAGGACCCAGGGGTTCTTTCTCTAAAGAAGAGTAAAAGATGCGAGGCGCAGGGCTGATACGGGCAATTTATGGGGAGTGTAGGAAGTTTGTGGGAACTCTGATGATAATTGTCCTCTTTGTCCATCAAATGCAGCAACATGGTCTAAAAGGAAGTTAGAGTGGCAAACAGAACCTAAGGAACTTTTAAGAGCCACTCCCCACCGCTCACAGGGAAATCGAGGTCCGGAGAAGGGAAAGCAAGTGGCCGAATGCCGGTAAAGGACAGGAAGAGAGCGGAGACCAGGGGTCCAGGGGGCCGGTTCGGGACCTGCTTCCACCAGCGGAGTCGAAGGTCATCCCCTTGGCCATGCGCCACCCAGGTCTTGGCGGAAGGAAGGAGCACTCGACCCAACAAAACGGACGCCCCGAGTCTTCATAGTCGTTAAGCAAAGAAGGGGAAGCGCATCTTCACTAGGCCACAGGACCAGGCCTTAGAACTTTTGGGTTTTATCCATAAAAGATCCTTAGGAAATAGAAGAAAAATCCAGATCGAGCCATGCAAACAGTGATCTTCCGCCGGCACCGCCTCCCGGCTGCGACCTAGGCTCGGGAGGAACCGCCCCAGGCCCCCGGCACCGGCTCCACCGCACAGTCCGCGCGCGGCGGTAAAGCCGCGCCCACGCAGCGAGCCCCCAACCCTGCTCCCCTGCCGCCACCGCCCCGGGGAGGGTGCGGAGAGGGCGCGCCGCGGCCCACGGACCCCTGCAGAGCGCGGCTGAGCCGGGCCGCGCGGAATCACGGGCCGGAGGCGGGGCCGCGCCGGGGCAGGCGGGCGTGCGGGCGTGCGGGCGGCGCTCTCCACTCCGGCGGACGCGCGGACGCGCGGGCGCCCGGGCGCGGCGCCGCCGGCACCGGAGAGGCGCGGCTGCCGGCGCGGGCTGCGGGAGCCGGGCCGCGGCGGGCGCCCGGGCGGGGTAGCGGGCTCTGCCGCCTCGGCCGGCTGGTCCCTGCGGCGGCTGCCCGGAGGCCTGGGCGCGCGGCCCTTCGCCATGTACACCTTCGTGGTGCGCGACGAGAACAGCAGCGTCTACGCCGAGGTCTCCCGGCTGCTCCTCGCCACCGGCTACTGGAAGAGGCTGCGGCGAGACAACCCCAGGTTCAACTTGATGTTGGGAGAGAGGAACCGGCTGCCCTTCGGGAGACTGGGTGAGCCCTTCCCCATTTCCCGCCTGCCCTCCCCGGAGCGGCCCTGCGCGCCGCCCGCGGCCCGTTAGAACCAGCGCTTTTGTTTTTAAAGGTCGCACATCTTCCTTCTGTCGCTTCTCGGGCATATCAAAACAGATCCGGAAAGATCGAAACCTGTCGTTTTTAATGCTTTCTTGCCTCCTGACTTGGACTTAAGTTGGAGTCGTGGTGCGGCCACTCAGGGCTACAGCTGCCTCCTGACAATGACCGGTCCCTGCAGCCCGGGAGACGTCAGCCGCCGGGGCTGGGACCTGGGGCGCGCGTATCGCGGCTCCCCGGATCTGACGCCCCCAAATCGGGCAGGTCCGCCTGGGCGGGGCACGGCTCCGCAGAGCCGGAGGTTGGCGTCGGCTGGAGTCATCTTGCAGCTTTTCTGCACTGAGGATTTCTGCCTGCTTGGCGTGGACGCAGTAGGGAGAGCCGTAGGTGTTGAAACCCCTAAGGCTTCTGCCACCCAAAGGCGCGGAGGAACGGTCAGGGAGTTTGGAAAAGACCTCTGGATATCAAAAGCAGGAGCTGCAGAAGAGACCCTAGCCCAGGGAAAAGATGTCTGATTTTAAACCTTTCCTTAGTTTCACCCAAAGAACATGCTTCCGCAGTTCTACATTGGATTAAGGTCTTACACGAGGCTGGGTTCACCCTCCCTCTCTTCCCTGCTGTCCCCGAGGGAATTACCTTCATCCACATGGTTGAAGCTGGCTGGGCACCGCCATACCCACTTGTCCTCGGGTAGGAAGGTGCAGGAGATAGGAGGGGACTAGATGCTCCTTTGTAAATGATGTCATCCAGAAGTTGCCCAGGTTGGTTCAACTCACATCCCATTGACCTGAGCATAGTCTCATGGCCTCCCCCTCGCTGCAGTCATCTGGGAAGTGCAGCTTCTCTGGGTAGCCATGTTCCCTGCCAGAATTCACCAGAGGTGGGGGCCAGTTGTATTCCAAAGACAAGGAGAGAATTGATATGGAGGAAGAGTCACTTCTGCCTTGGAGGGCAACGCAGAGAGAGCAGTGTTCTATGTCCAGAAGAGGAAACAGTTTTTAGAAATAGGTGTGGTCGGAGTTCGAATGGGTAAAAACTGAATATAGGCCATTTGGAATTGACTGGTCATTGGTGAGCTTCCAAAGATAGAGCCTTTGAAAAGGGGGTTGTGTAAAACTCTAATCGTTGGAGGAATGAAAAGCTGCGGTGTAAAGTTACTGAATTTTTTTATTTTGAATAGTACCTGGGACAACTTTTCATTTGTATACAAGTTTATGATGTAGAATGGTGACTCCATGGAAGGGCCCATTTGAACACCCAGAAATCTCAGAATATGGAGACTGTGCCTGGAGAGTCCCTTTTGTTAACGGTCTCAGGAAGACCTTAGCAAAGAGACCTGAAAGGAAGGGAAGAATTGCTTATGGTTCAGAACAATTATTTCTTCCTTGCATTCCTTTCCAGACTTCCTTTCCAGACTTCCTGACTTTCCCCTGTATTCTTGGCAGTGCCTGGCTGTGAAAGCTTGGGTGGAATCCTAATATTAAAAACAAACATTGCTCCGCCCAGGCGGAGACAGGAGTGACTGGCATTATTACCCAGGTGCTTAAGCCTAGGAATGAGAAGCAGAAGCCTATGGAATTTGAATCCTAAACAGGTACCACAAATTCAGCAGATGATTAGTAAATATTTGTTTTGTTTTTGTTTTTAAGACAGACTCACTCTCTGTCACCCAGACTTGAGTACAGTGGCGCTATCTTGGCTCACTGCAACCTCCACCTCCTGGGTTTAAGCAATTCTCCTGCCTCAGCCTCCCAAGTAGCTGGGATTCCAGGCACACACCACTATGCCCAGCTAGTTTTTGTATTTTTAGTAGAGATAGGGTTTCCCCATGTTGGTCAGGCTGGTCTCAAACTCCTGACCTCAGGTGATCTGCCCACCTCAGCTTCCCAAAGTGCTGGGATTACAGATGCGAGTCACCATGCCCGGCATACATTTGGTTTTTATGGGAAAGAAAACAGCATGCTACAATGAAGTTGGTTATATGTCATCACTATTAAGGGATATTTACCGTTTGCTTAAAGTGTACTACGTGAAAGCCAAGAAGATTTATAGAGCTAGGTAAAGGCTTAGGAAGGCTGGTGCCCTGTGGATAAGAAGGTAGGCAGTTCAGGTGGGAATCAGGCCTGTCTGTCCAAGGGGACCAGTGAGAGCCAGCTAATGCCTACCTGAAACTTGATTTGACTATATGCCAGTCTCAGAAAAATTATTCTTACTTTTGGCATTTTCAACTGAAAATTCCTTTGATTGGGCTTACTTTGGTTTCTGTTACTGGAAATGCAACGCATTTTATTAAAATTTGAAACAAAATGCTTTTTATTTTATTATTATTTTTTGAGATGAAGTCTCATTCTGTTGCCCAGACTGGAGTGCCATGATGTAATCTCGGCTCACTGCAACCTCTGACTCCCAGGTTCAAGTGATCTTGTGCCTCAGCCTCCCAAGTAGCTAGAGTTGCAGGCGTGTGCCACCATGCCCAGCTAATTTTTATGTTTTTAGTGAAGATGGGGTTTTGCCATGTTGGCCTGGCTGGTCTTGAACTCCTGACCTCAGGTGATCCACCTGCCTCAGCCTCCCAGAGTGCTGAAATTACAGGCATGAGCCACTGTACCCGGCTGAAAACACTTTTCATTTTAAATAAAAATTTGTTTTACTTCGTACCCTTTCTGCTCTAATTTTATTTAAAAAGGCCACATGTAATAAGAGCTGTTGAAAATGAGTTTTCCCATGGAATGAGGCACAGAAGAAAGCTCTCATGGCTTCTGATTTTACAGACGTGGCCTCTCCACTACCTTCATTCACCTCCTAGAACCTTGCAGAGATAGACTTGCTTGAGAGCAGCATCAATCTAGTTCTTCCTTCCTTCCTTGGTGTAGAAAGCTGGGTTACGGATGTGGAAAGCATGACTCTATTAAAGTAGCCTTACTATACAGAGTGACAAGTCTATATGTGTTAAGCCAGGAGGGGAGTGCAGTGTGCTGTCAGAGAGAGGTAAAATGAAAATTACCCTCAATGCCCTCCACCCTAACAAAAAAAAACAAAGGTAGCAGCAGTTTTGGCAGACCTATGATGCTGATGTTATGATATCCACTGTGGGGAGACTGAAGGTTGCCAGCAGTATACCAAGAGAAAGAGGGTCCTTGGGGACAGAGAAACAAAACTGTTCCATTTTCTAACAGCCAATCCTGAGATGAGAGAAGGAAAAGCCGGGCATGACACAGCTGTCCTCTCTCCTGCTTGTTGGTGTTAACATTGCCATTCCCCAGTTGTCCTGTGTCCCTTCTGACCCTCCTCTTTCCTTCCTAGGTCACGAGCCCGGGCTGGTACAGTTGGTGAATTACTACAGGGGTGCCGACAAACTGTGTCGCAAAGCTTCTTTAGTGAAGTAAGTGTGAAGACCGCCGTTTTCCAGTTTTTACCTAAATAAAAAACTTAGGCAAAAATGTGGGGTTACTTAAAAGGCAAACATGTTTTTATTTTAAAAGCCAACAAATACCAGTTGAGAAGCTTCCTCTAAGCCACTTGGGTTGCAGTCCAAAACATGTTGCTTGATAAAGCCTGCCTTTCTCTGAGGTGAGTCTCCTAGAAGCAGAGCCTGACTCAAGGTTTCCTGTATAAGTGATTTCCTGGGGTACGGTTCTTAAGAGACACTCATCAGGAAGTGGCAGCTGGACATGGTGGCTCACACCTGTAATTCCCAGCACTTTGGGAGGCTGAGGCGGGCAGATCGCCTGAGGTTGGGAGTTCAAGACCAGCCTGGCCAACATGGAGAAACACCTTCTCTAGCAAAAAACACAAAATGAACTGGGTATGGGGGCGGATGCCTGTAATCCCAGCTACTCAGGAGGCTAAGACAGGAGAATTGCTTGAGCCAGGAGGCAGAGGTTGCGGTGAGCCGACATTCTGCCATTGCACTCCAGCCTGGGCAATAAAAGCAAAGCTCCATCTCAAAAAAAAAAGGAAGCAAGGGCACAGCAGGGCAGGGGGAGAACCAAGTAAAGAGGTGGTTTCAGCCAAAGTCTTGCCTCTCCTGACTCCAAGGAGCACTGAAGCGAATGGCACGTCAGAGTTGTCACATTTTGAGCAAGGGGACCAGGCCTCTGTGCCCCAGTATCAGTCAGCCATCAGCTGTGGGAAGAGATGGAGGGCGTAGTTTCGCAGGCATTTCTGGGCATAGGCTGGTCCCTGGAGAAGGGCATATGTAGCCCTTAGCATCCATCTCTCATATTAGCAAGGGGTCCCTCAGAAAGAATATCTGGGCAGGGTATAACAGCATTCACTCCACTGCCCATCCCTGAACAGTTGGATTATGGCCAGGTATCACCACAGTATCACAAAGTGGAAGGTGACTATGTTATACAACGATTAAGATCTAGGGTCAAAAGTGTAGGTTTTCATCCCAGCTCTTCCTCTCACTAGCTTGGGCAGATAACCTCATCCCTCTAAGCCTCAGTACCTCTCTCTTAAGGCTATTATGATAATTAAATAAGGTGATGCATGTAAAGTTCATATAGCACAGTGGCCTGGTACATAATGAGTATTTGACACTGCCTTGATTTTCTTGGCTAAGTTGGGGAAATAGTAACTACCCTAGGTTGTTATGAGGATTAATTGAGCTAATTTAGCTAAGGGCTTTGAATAGTGCCTGTCTGTCGTTCACACTGTATTAAGTGAAAGCACACCTTAGTATTATTATTGCTATTAGTATAGTTGTCATTGCTATTATTGTTATTTCAGTAGGGAAACACTGGGTCAGGCCGCTAAAATCAGGGCTGTCATAGGTTTGCAGTATTCTTTCCATGATGACAGTTGAACATGTATGTGTAGCCAGGTACTGGGAGATATGACCCAATGCAAAATTCTCTTTTCCCACTAACATTTCTTTCTGGATGCTAGATATTTTCTGCTTTGTTTACTCATTGGCCTTGGTAACTTATGTACTCACTCCTCTCTGTGATGGGTTTTCATGATTCATCCCATTCCTGAAGGGGAGTGAGGCTTCCTGAAGTCATCTTGTGATATATTTATATATTTAGAATGCAAATAACTGTTTCACTAGAATCGGGAATAGAAGTGGAACATGTTTGTTTATTCAGATTATTCACTTAGAAATTCTTATTTTTATTATTTTCTTTTTTGTAGTAACTCCTCTGAGCTAATCACTTAGAAATTCTTATTAAATATTTATTAAACCTTTTCTGCTATGATTTTTTCCCTAAAGACAAAGGTAAAAGTTTGCTTTTATAAGTAGGAAGCAGAGGATGCTATAAAAAATAAAATGGTCTCCATATTTGCATGTTTTGCAGTTCTAGTGAAGCAGAGTGAGTACATGGCTGGAGTCATGACCAAGTGTGATAAATATCTGTGACCTTGGAGAGCACCACTCAGCATCCCAGTGTTTCATCTGTAAAATGGGGATGGATGATGGTGACAATACCTGCTCGTTGCCTGTCAGAGGCATGCAGTGTAACCCCTGATAGCACCTTGTAATGCTGACATGGCCTCTGCAGGCTGGAGATTGCATCATCCTCATCAGCTTCCATCTTTGTCTCAGGTGTCCTGTGAGGGGCTTGTAGTAATTCCTGGATATGATGGTTCCCTTTATCCATTTGTCTCTCTCCCATGATTTTGTATGGCTTGAAAGGACTCCAGAGAGTTAGAAATATAGTCTCCTTCATTTTATAGGACAAAATCGCAGCTTAGAGAGGACAGCCAGGTTGCCCATGGCCATAGTAGCTCCTGTTAAGCCAGGACAGTTTTAATCTGCAGAAATGGTACCCCTGGCCATTGTGACTGTGCACCCTCGGGAGGCTTCCCAGAGCCTTGGTGGTGTTCAGTGCAAGACCCTGTCCAGTCCAATCCTTCCTCCTGTCACTTCAGGGAGTTGCAGAAATTCATTAAGGCCCCAAGACTGTAGTCTTAGAACCCTGAGGGGCTTTTCTTCTCCTGGTACAGATCAGAGGCTTGCTTTTCCTCTCCTGAGCATTACTGTTTTATAGATGTAAATAAATCTCCATTTCTAATTACTTCCCAAATGGGCCCATGAGGAAATTGGACAAAAGCAAAGGACTTCCTACAGAACCTAGTCTTGGTTCTGTATAGGAAATGAGGGCATCCAAACCAATCTACAGACCAGCACTGTCCAACAGAAATAGGATGCTCGCCACACTAGTAATTTTAAACTGCCTAACAGCCACATTAAAATAAGTGCAAAGAAACAGCTGCAGGCCAGGCATGGTGGCTCACACGTGTAATCCCAGCACTTTGGGAGAGCTGGGTGGATCACCTGAGGTCAGGAGTTCGAGACCAGCCTGGCCAACATAGTGAAACCCCATCTCTACTAAAAATACAAAAATTAGCTGGGTATGGTGGTGGGTGCCTGTAATCCCAGCTACTTGGGAGGCTGAGGCAGTAGAATCAGTTGAACCTGGGAGGTGGAGGCATTCTTCAGATTTCTGTTAGTTTTTACAGCCAATTTTCATAATGCTATTACAATTAACATTTTTTTGCATGCTGAGTCATGTTATAAAAATATGCGAAATCATTGTTATCAATTTGTATTATGAAGTTGGAACATAAATTCTCATACCTGTCTGGCTAAATCACAAATAAGGTCTTCTTTCCCCTTCCTTGGAGTTTTAAATTTAGCTTTTTCATATGCAGTATGAATATAGATGAGAAGATGCAAATGACAGTATTTTTTTTTTTTTTTTTTTGAGGCAGAGTTTCGCTCTTGTTGCCTAGGTTGTAGTGCAGTGGTGCAATCTTGGCTCACTGCAACCTCCACTTCCCGGGTTCAAGTGATTCTCCTGCCTCAGCCTTTTGAGTAGCTAGGATTACAGGCATGAGCCAGCACTCCCGGATAATTTTGTATTTTTATTAGAGACAGGGTTTCTCCATGTTGGTCAGGCTGGTCTCGAACTCCTGACCTAAGGTGATCCACTCACCTCAGCCTCCCAAAGTGCTAGGATTACAGGTGTGAGCTAACATTCTTTTTTTTGTGTGACAGAGTCTCGCTGTCTCCCAGGGTGCAGGGCAGTAGTATGATCTTGATTATTCAATAATAATCACAATTATTGAAATAATGAATTATTGAGTGAAAATAGTGATTTGACAAACATTCCTTTTATTTTCAAGAAAATCTGAATTGGAATTGCAAAGTAAATCTTTATTTAAAAAAAAAAAAAAAAACTGTCCCTCTCTCAGTGAGTGAACATTGGCAGAGAACACAGTATCATTAAATTCATTGTCTTCTGTTTCCACAACTGGGGAGTCATCATGTATATACAGAACCATTTCAACAACTGTATTCAGAAAACCTAACACAAGGCTGGGTGCCGGGGCTCATGTCTGTAATCCCAGCACTTTGGGATGCCATGGCAGGTGGATCATTTGAGGTCAGGACTTTGAGACCAGCCTGGCCAGCATGGCAAAGTCCCATCTCTACCATAAATACAAAAAATAAATTAGCTGGGCATGGTGGTGCACGCCTGTAGTCCCATCTACTTGGGAGGCTGAGGCATGAGAATCACTTGATCTCAGGAGGCAGAGTTTGCAGGGAGCTGAGATTGCACCACTGCACTCCAGCCTGGGTAACAGAGTTAGACCCTGCCTCAGAAAAACAAACAAACAAAAAGAAAACCTAACACAAATGTTTTCGATATGTATCACATAATGCAATGAAGCAAAAGTTTCCAATATGTAGCATACAATAAAATGAAGTAGTAAAGGAAATATAAGCCTACCAAAATCTTAGTAAATCCATATTTTAATAAACCTAACTGAAGTCTTATCTGTCATGATAGAAAGTAATTTTTTGCATGTAGGTAAAATTCTTTGGCAGATGTAAAAGATTAAAAAATATCTATGCTATGATATTTTTTAAGCTGCAATTTGCTGGCATTTTTTCATATATTTGGAAATTTTTTGAGGCAAAACACCCAAAGTATTAATTGGACAGTATCTCTTATGTCACACAGTTCACCTAAAGCTAAAGAAAAATACTTAATATTTTTTAAATTTTGAGTCAGTAGTTGATATTGTTAGAAAGGTTTTATAGTCTGTGGGCAATTGTGACTCAACTGAAGATTGATCATTTTTGTAAATTATATTTTTAAATCTTTTCCTTAGAATAGTTTTTTAGAACCACATTTGCATCTAAAATAGTTTTCTTTTTGTGTAAGTATCCAAGCCATATTGTAGTTGCCCAGAGTTATTAAACTCAGACCCTGTTAAACATTCGCTTAAAAATGTGTTGGGTATTGTGATTTCAGCCACTAATTTTATTAATTTTTTTTGAGTATTGAAAGAAAAATACTTATCAAGTTTATTATATATTTGCTAAAAATATCTCCCTTACACAATTGTTTTTTCAGTTTACTTTGACCATAGCCTATTGCAGTCACCACTTGGGAATCTGTGGCATACTTCCTTTCAGATGGAGTCTCGCTCTGTCACCCAGGCTGGACTACAGTAGCATGATCTCGGCTCACTGCAGCGTCCACCTTCTGGGTTCAAACATTTCTCTGCCTTAGCCCCCCGAGTAGCTGGGATTGCAGGTGCCCACCACCACGCCCAGATAATTTTTTTTGTGTATGTATTTATAGTAGAGACGGGGCTTCACCATCTTGGCCAGGCTGGTCTTGAACTCCTGATTTAATGATCCACCCGTGCTGGCCTCCCAAAGTGCTGGGATTACAGGCGTGAGCCACCGCATGCAGCCTTTTTTTTTTTTTTTTTTTTTGTAAATCTGTTACTGTCCTTGTCATAGTTGTAGCTTCTGTGTTCCTGCTCAATTCCACATCAGTAGTATGCCTTTGCTTTAAATTTAAAATGTTGTCCAAATGTTTTTTTAACTAGAAAAAAATTCTGTTTCACCTTTGTTACCAATTGTGGTATACATAGCTAACACTGTAACTCATGCTCTCTGCATAGTAAACATACCATAATGTTTCATCAGTGCACAGAAAGAAATCACTTGAACTGAATCAATCTATTGTCCTTCAATAGAATAGCGATGTGTTTGTGTGTGATACTAAAAATGACAAATGGCCCTGACGTGCATGTTGCAATACAACCACCAAGTGAAGTGTTACCCTACCACATCAATAAAGCTGTGATTCATGGAAAAATATTTTATAATGCATCCATTTTTAAATTAAAGGCAAATTAAACTTTAGGCCAGGCATAGTGCTCACACCTGTAATCCCAGCACTTTGGGAGCCAAGGTCAGTGGATCATCTGAGATCAGGAGTTCGAGACTAGCTTGGTCAACATGGTGAAACCTATCTCTACTGAAAATACAAAAATTAGCTGGGCGTGGTGGTGGGCACCTGTAATCCAGCTACTTGGAAGACTGAGGTGGGAGAATCACTTGAACCCAGGAGGTGGAGGTTGCAGTGAGCTGAGATCATGCCACTACACTCCAGCCTGGGTGACACAGTGAGACTCCATCTCAAAAAAAAAAAAAAAAAAAAGTTAAACTTTAAATTCAGTTCCTGAGCCACACTGACCACATTTCAAATGATCAGTAGCCACACATGGCTGGCTAGTGGCCACTGGGTGGGACAATACAGATACGGAGTTGAACTTGCAGTGAGTTAAGAATTTATTTTGTTCCTTCAAGTTCAAGTAGCTTTTCAGTTCTTCCCCTTACACTTTAAAATAGCTTTATTTTTAATCTCAATCTGAAACATCATTATTTCCACCATTTGCTCACAGACTGGGTTTTGTGGGCGAATCTTAATAAGGAAGTGGCATTAACAGTTCTGTTCTAAACAGAAGAGGGAGCACAGCTCATGGAAGGCCAGCGCATGTCTGTGGGCAGGTTCCTCCCTGGCTCTGATTCCTGGGGAGTAAGAGCAGGTTTCCATTTAAGACTGGGGGTTTTGGAGCAGCTTGAGCTGTTAAAAAAAGAAAAAAGACTTGGGATTTTGGGGCTTGCATCTTGGCTGCTCCTTACTACCTTTATGATCTTAGGAAGTTCACTTCTCTGTGACCCAGTGCCTAATTTGTGAAATGTGCTGCCAGTGCCTCTAGCTTCAGGGATCTGATTGCAGAGATGCTGTGGGAAGCCCCTGTGTGCTAAGTGCCTTGCCTGACTTTATCTTCTGTGGTGTTATGGTATTTGGGGAGCAGGAGGTATATTTCACTATGACCACTGGTGTTCTGTGTCCCATTAGAAAGATACCTTTTTTATTCTGTCACCGAAGCCAGCCTATGCTAAAAGCAAGAAAAGAAGAGCTTTAAAAAGTCTTTAGATAATTCAGGTTCCTACATAAGCTTCTCTCCCATAGGGAGTTGGGCCAGGATAGTCTTTTTGCTACTTAAATTTTCCTCTCTTCCCTATTTCATTTTTTAGTATGGGTCTGGCTCAACAACCTATTGTTGAAAAGGTATTGGCACAGAATTATGTCCAGTTAAGTTTTCTTAGAGATGCATTTTAAAAAGAGCAAAAGTGTTGGACATGCCTTTTGAATTAACTGGGGTATGCCTTTAAAGTTGCATCTAACAGCTATGTGCTGCCCAATAATACATTTGGGCTTTGTCCAGAGAGATCAAGAGTAAACAGAGGTGTTAGGAGATTGGGTCATGCTTTGCCTCCCTGAAAATCTCTGGGGGAAAGCAGTGGGCTTTCTGAAGGGAGTGATGAAGTGCACTAAGAAGGGAGGCTGACCTTCTTATGTCATCTGCCAGGCTAATCAAGACAAGCCCAGAACTGGCTGAGTCCTGCACATGGTTCCCTGAGTCCTATGTGATTTATCCAACCAATCTCAAGACCCCAGTTGCTCCAGCACAAAATGGAATTCAGCCACCGATCAATAACTCAAGGACGGATGAAAGAGAATTCTTCCTCGCTTCTTATAACAGAAAGAAAGAGGATGGGGAGGGCAACGTTTGGATTGCAAAGTCATCAGCTGGTGCCAAAGGTGAGTTGACACTGCTGTCCCCTTCTCTACTCCTGGTAAGTTCCTATTGTGATGTATTTAGATGAATGACCCTATTCTAATCTGAATCATCGAAGATAGAAACCACGTCTAGTTGCATAGTTATAAACACCGAGCTGTGTACCGATGCCTTCTAAACGTGTATCTCCAGTATAGGTCTTTTCCTTTAAGCTCTAGATGCATTGACACCCTCACCATCTCTAAAAGGCATTTGCAACTGAATACATCTGATACAGAACTTTTTATTTCCTTCCCAACTTTGCCCACGCCAGCCTGCTCCTCCTTCACGCTTTCCACTTAGTATATGATCCCACTATTCACTCAGTCTCTGAAGCTTAAAACCTAGGATTCATCCTTGACTACTCTACTCTTTACTATGTACTCCTAATGCATTAGCAATTCTTGCTAGCTCTACCTTCAAAGTACATTCTGAATAGACTATTTCTTGCTATTTCCACTGCTCCCTATCTAAATCAAAGCCCCCATTCTGTTTAGTGTGTGTAACTGCAGAGCCTGCTCTCAGTCAGTTCTCCTTCCAGATAATGTTTTAAAAACAAATCGAATCATGTTACTTCCTAGTTGAGACTTACCAGCTGTCTTCCTAATGCAATTAGAATGAACTCCAGATTCCTAAAGTCTGCCTGCACCATTTGACATTTGCCCATGTTTCTGATCTCATCCCCTTCTATCCTCAGCTTTGCTCTCTGCACTGTAGACTACCTAGTTCTCTCAAATACTCCAGACTTGTCTCTGCCTAGAATGTGCTTACATGGATTGTTTTCTGTTTCTCTCAGCTCAGATGTTGGCTCCTCAGGGAAGGCTCTTCTAATCTAAAATAGCCTCTGTTTCCATTGTTTTCTTTCCCTTTTCCCTGCTTCATTTACCTCCTGGCATTAACATCTTCCTAGCACTATGCTACTTACCTGTCCATCTCTCACGTTATACTGTAGGCCTCACACAAACACAGACTTTCTGTCTTATTCATCCTTGTACGTTCGTCATAGGCACTCAACAAATATATGTTGAACAAATGTGTAGAAGGGGTGAGGTTTGTAATACTAACTCAGGCTGAAAATAGAAGCAGTTCATTAACTCAGTTTATGTTTAATGAACACATAAACGGTCTTGGTCTATGACTGCCCTCCTATGCTCTTTATAAAACCATTCCCTTTTGAACTCACTTCTTGTATTGCCTTGGAAGACATCTGGCCATTGGTATTCCTTTCTATTCCAAGTCAAAGGGACATCACCACCTTTTCCACCAACCATAAGACAGGAGGCCTCACCTGGTATCCCTGAAAGGGGGAAAGTTGGACTCTTGCCACAAGCCAAGTACTTCACCTACTTTTCTCTCCCTTCTTGTGACCTTTTCTCAAGTACTGCCCCCCAGTGTGGTTCCAATGGTAAATGGCAGAATTGGAGGAGGAAATACATATCATGGTACTCCAGAATCCTGTGGGCTTGGGATTGGAGTCAGAATGGCCATTCTGAGGACACCTGGGTGATCCCTGGACCCTCACCAGGATAAGACTCAGAGGGACACCAAGCAGCAGGAGGAAGTCAAGAGAATAAAATGCCAAACAAAGACTTTTTGCTTTAGGAATTGAGGAGATAAGTTTTTGTTTTCTTATTTTGTAGGTATTATGTTTGGGAACTATAAAATGAAACCAAATGAATGAATGGCTTTTATTCTTGTTAAACAAGTGTTTATTTGGTACCTACTACATGCTTTGAATAGTTGGCTCAACCTTCAAGCTCTATCCATTATGAAGCCACTGTTCAGCATGTCAACTACCCATCATCTCTAAACTGAGCCACCTTTACCTCTCACCTGGATGGAGCACAGGAACACACTACATCTGTAATAGCAAATTATTGTTTAGAAACAACCCTGTTGTCCCACTGCTATTACAGATATCAGTAGTAAATGTTTTTGCTATAAATCATGCTTGTTTCTTTTTCAATTTTAATTTTTATTGTGTGTGTGTGTGTGTGTGTGTGTGTTATTTTTTTTTTTT